TTCATTTGGGGGATTTTCCAAGCAAATATCTCCACCAAACTTCACACATTTGAGTCCTGCCCTGTCCACATCCACATGCCAATATTCGGTCATAGTCACAGTGCCCCCTCCTGTCAACAGAGAGTAAGTCTTGTGTGGCGATTTTGATCTGATTTACGGGAATTCTTTTACGCATGACATGCTGGTGCATGAGGCGACCGCAGCACAACACTACGTGTGTACTGCGAGGGCTGATCTTCGCTGTTTGCAGCTTTAATTTAACATTGTGTCAGTTAGTTTGGAGTAAATGTTCATTATTTTAAGCCCTGCAGTCTCCAGGCTGCTAGCTGAAGTTGTGAAGACGGGGGTGTTCTGACTTATAGGTAATTTTACTCGGTTATCTGCATTTTCTCTCATTCATTCAGTATTTAATGTGCTTGCAGACCAGCGACACACTATCAGCTCTGGGCACGTTACACACACACACAGTCATCACTGTAGAGTGTCGATACACACGCTGCAAGCTGTCATATGCTTTGGATCTCTTCTAACTGATTCGCACAAGGCTTTGGGTCTACACTGTGCTTATCAACTACCCCACCTCCTATAGTTCACAAAGAGGTGAAACAATGGAGATACAAGGTTTTCACCTGATGTGTGACTGTGTCCCAGTTTGTCTGGATTCATTTGTTGATTGTGTAAGTGTGTAAGTGTGTGTGTGTGTGTGTGTGTGTGTGGTGACCCAGTAACATCAGCCATACAGCTTTGAGGCTTTTTCCTCCCAGACTTCAATACAGTAAGTCCCTGTTTGTGTGTGTGTGTGTGTGTGTGTGTGTGCTGTAGTCTTTATGAGAACAGGTTTTGACCTTCAGACGTTTTGAAAATTGGGGATATTTTCTCTGGACCTCACTTAATTTTTAGGGTTAATACATTTTTAGGGTTGAGGCTAGAATCAGGTTTGCCTTCGGGCTAGGGAACAAATGCAGTGTGTCAATTAGTGTGGTAGAACAGAATATGTGTGTGTATTTGTGTGTGTTCTTGTTAGTGTCCCTGTCTGTCCCTCAGACATTTACTGCCTCACATTACCACCTATTTACAGCCTCCTGCTCCTGTGGAAATATGATATAATTAATCACAGACATCAAACTGCTCTAATGTTGGAGTCCTGTGAGTGTGTGATGCACCTGCTGGGCCATCTGTGAGACTGTGCTTTAAATACCAACACGTGTCTGATACAGACAAATAGTAGGTGTGATTTGTAATCATGATTACAATAATTGGGTTCATTTTAAATAAATTAGTAAGTCAGTATCTATGCTGATGTCCTCATAAATCTGTTGTGCTGCAGGTGTACCCTCAAAAATAATCCAAGCAGCCACATTTCACGCACTAGACTGCTGCTCTTCATCATTCCCATTATCACTAGAAATTGTGCCACAGCAACAAAACGTAAAACCAAAAGGTACAATTTGTCTTTGCCTAAAAATGAATAATAGTTAAACTGGCCTTAATATTTCTGCACTGTGATGAATTCCAAACTTGATTTGTGAAATGAGCTTAAAGTTCTGCATGAACATATTTACAAACATTTCAGACAGGTAAACCTTATTATTGAGATGTTTTTTCCCAATTTTTTTCCTTCTTTCCTTCATTTTACATAACCCAAGGGTTTATTCTTTGATTGATTAAAATGTCCTACATCTTAAGCCAATAAAACCCCTCTAAAAGTCCATTGCGGTATCTCAAAAATGCAACCACATCTCACAGTCAGTGTCAGTGGAAGGAGGAGGAGGTCAGTGGTCACTGACAGAATATTAAAGTAAATTCCCTCCGATGAGAAGATGTGGTTGAAAATAGTCAGACCATCTAGTAATGGGACTTTGAGATGAACTCATGGTAGCATTAGACAAATTAGACTCTGTGACCTGGTCGGGGTATTAAAGTATAATCTGTTTTAACCCAAAAACTGAACGGGCCAATTTTCTGTTTTTCCAATGTGCATAATTATAGAAGATCAATTGGAACAAAGTGGATAAACAGCTTGTGTTTGGTTTGGGTACTTTCAGTCAACCACTAGATGCCACTGAATTCTAAAGACTGGTCCTTCAAGCCTTTAATTAATATGGGTTGATCATAAGTTGCTGTATGTATTAGAAAACTGTTGACAGAACAGTCTCAGAATTAAGCTTCAAACCAACGTCTCTGATCTCAGTAGTAAGAGAACTTTTTTTTTTATAGGCCTCTTTATTGTTTATTAGAAAATGGATATTTACACATTTTACTCGTTTGATAAAAAGTACATTATCTGTACCAGTTGAGAAACACATTTCATTACATGTTCTTTATAGAAATACTTCCAGTATAATTTGTGTACACTTTTATGGAAAATAGTCTTAAACTCCATAGGACAACTCCTAGGACATGAAAGCCTATTTGTCATGTACACATGAAAGTGATATACAGTATGTGATAAAATGTATGGAAGCACTTATAAGATAGCTGAATTTATGTTCCCTGACATACATTATGTATGTGATATATCTACTATGTTTGCTCTGTATACATTGACCTGAGTGGGTGGCTGTGGTGCAGAGGCACCCACTAATTGGAAGGTTGTTGGTCCGATCCCCGGTTCCTCCTGCCGCCACATGTCGAAGAATCCTTGAGCAAGATACTGAACCCCAGTGTAAATGTGTATGAATGAGGTAGTTTCTGTTCCATGGGCTTTGCCATCGCTGTGTGAAAGGGCAAATGTGGCACTGTATGTAAAAAGCGCTTTGAGTGGTCGCAAGACTAGAAAGGCGCCATATACAATACAGTCCATTTACCTGTGCTGCCCCCTTTACTAGTACTGACTATGAGCTTAGTTTAACATGTTTCTGGCACATTAGTTGCTCAGATTGTGATGAGTTTGATGGTTACTGTGCAGCCAAACAAAATCACAGATTCTTGTGTGTGACGGAGGCTGACAGAAACCAAGGCTGGTTGCTCACTATAGATCCACATGTCCCTAAAAACCTGAGGTAATATCTCTGAAACTGTTGGCCAGATTGGCTTAAATGCTTTGGTTCACAGCAATGTATGGACCTGACCATTTATCAACCACCACAATCAGTCCAAATTTTAATTCTTGTACAATAAATACCACATCTAGGTAGATTTGTATTACATTTTGATTACAATTACACCTTGACATTTCCTCTAGCCCCACCCTCAGGACAAACATCACATTTTTAGCGCATCAATATGTCTTTCATATAATGCACTGGTCACTGTCTTGGATGAACATCAAGGAGATGCAAACACAATTGCGTTTAGCTGGTGACTGAGGCAACCCATTTCACATGGCTCCATCCAAAACATATAGAGGTCAACGTCCAATATGATTTAAGATTATGGGTTTTACCAAGTAACGAAGAAATGTCGTAAACTGGAAAAGGCAGGAGACGAGCACAGCATGACCTCAAGTGAACGGGGTGGTTTTCAAAAAGGTTTTAGAACTTACTTTGGTCGCTCTGTTATGTAAAACGTCCAGTCTTTTCCCTGACTTGACCATGTCAAAGCCCAACATTTCTATGGTTAATTAAAGTTAACCTCCCTGTGCGTCATTATGAGTTTTATATTTATGTTAAATTCACATGTCATCGTGGATTCCTAAAGTTGCTCACGAGAACAAAACACAAGCTGTTGGTCACCGTTAAACAACATGACTTCTCTCAGTATGTTGAAGGTATATTTATAGTGTGATATGTATAGTGTTTATTGATGTCTTGACCTGCACTTCATGTGTCTCTGCACCATGTCTCACATTCTGATGCATTTGAGTGTTAATGGTTCAAAATTCACAGTCGTTATAACAGAAGGACTAAAAGCCGTCTGACTAACAACATGTCTAAGAGGTAGAAATAAAACCTGATTTAGTGAAATA